TCGCAGTTTTTATGCAAATTCGTGCGGTCGTCCTGAACCGCACTGTCTATTGTTTAAACTTCCAAACCGCAAAACTGGGTTTTGTTCGGGCGGTTTAGGGCGGTTTGGGTTTTCGTAGGTTTGACCCGCATGTTTGAATATGTGATCACCCCTAAATGCATGATCCCCAACAACTAATAGGCTTTAGCAATAGTTCAGTTTCAAAAAAATTTGATAAAAATGTTTCAATTTGTTTTTAACCTAGGCCATTGTGATATGACTAATAGATGTGTATATCATTTGTCAATTCATTCTTACAGTTTAAAACCAGACTTTGTAGTTCCCATGAAGCGTTCAACCAGTCTATGAATAACCTAGAAGCAAAGCATTCTGGGAGACTTGAGAAAACTGAAGAACAAAGGATGAGAGTCCGGAAAATTCATGCTCCCAAACTTGCCAGGCTTTCCCTGGAAAGCACTTCTATGCAAGACATTATACTGCACGGTGAGTCAGACATACGATTTTTTTCCTTTATTCAAATCTACCATTAAGAAGTGTACTTTGCCTGAAATGTCTGGTTACATTGATTAATTACCAAGAACTATAATTACCTGCTTTACCTATTGTTTCCAGATGTATCATGATTTGGGGGTGGGGGGTGGGGTGGGGTGGGGTGAAGTGTTTGTCAATGTTCTTTTTGTCTCTTGTTTTGATACTTTACGCTATTGAAACTGTGTTAGTTTCGCTGCTCCATTTGTTTCAAAAATAGTTATTTTTGGATAAAGTGTCAGTAATTGCCGTGTGATGAAAACATGTCTAAACTGAACACCAAACAGAATGAGATAATTGCAATTTGTAGAAGTCTTGTATACAAGTATGTACACGTACACTGAGAAAGTACTGAATATTGGTGTCATTTTTAGACAGGTTTCTGTTTTTTGTATTAGTTGAGCTTGACGAAGGTTATTTTGGAGTACGGTAAAATCTTTTGTGCCAGTATAGTTTCACTTAGCATCAGTAATTGTAGTACAGTAAAAAGAACGTGACTTTAATAATAAGATACAAATGGATTTTTTTTTTTATGTGCACGAATTAGTGAAATCATTTTTGGTTGGTTAATAAATTGTGATTTTTTTTCAAATAAAAAATAGAAACAGACAAGCATATGATATGATCTCTAGCATTGACATGTTTTGTGATAATTTCACAAACACACACAATCACAGTGTTGGTCTGGATGGAGCTATATCGAAAGTACACAAATCTTCGAAGAAATAAAACTGACATTCATATTATGCCAATGATGAATATTCAAAAAAACTAGGTACTGGTACTCTTGTTTTCCCAAAAAAATTTATAATGCAAGCTCAATAATTAAGATGCAATCAGAAATTCAAATTTAGATAACTGACAGCTTTGTCAATCTTGTGAGCTTGTCCTGAAACAGGATCAAGCATCATGAATTCACTAATCAGATCACTCAGTATGTAGAGCGATGAACTTTCAACAACATGGCACTGAAGTCATTCAAGCTGAGACTGATTCAATGGTGGAGGAAATGTCCCACTCCATATATAGTGCTTTAAAGTGTTTTTTTTTTTTTTGTCACACGCCTGTATTTACGTTTATTTCATGAGTAAAACATTCCCTGTTTTGTTGAAAATCGTTTCTGGTACGATGTCTTTTAAACTGGTTGAAATCACCGGTGATGTTAGGTGATGCTTACATTATTGTTTTTCAGCAAAGATTTTCTTGATAATAATTATTTTCATGCTGTGTTTTGCATAAAAGGTTAAAGTGCAAATTGAAATGATGCAATTTTTTTTTTAACTGGTGATTTAGGTTAGGTTATATTTAATAATATTTAGCTCCACTGTCGACTTTGTCGAATGGAGCTTATCATATGAGTGATTGTCCGTCGTCGTCCGTGTCAATGTTTTACTTTTTCGACTTCTTCTTGAAAACTACAAGCCTGAATGCTTTGATACTTGGTGTATATGTACCTTGGGTAGACCTCTCTTAGATTTGTTCATTTCATGTTGATATCTTCAATTCTCTAATTTTGGTGAATATTTTTGTCATTTTTGGTAAAAAGTGATATTTTCGACTTCTTGTCTATACATATTGTTCATTTTCTAATGATGTCTTCAGTTCTTTAATTGAAATGTGCATTGCTAACAGCGGAGCTATCTCAGCCGATAGGCTGCTTGTTTCTTTTAAATGAGTTGGGTGCACTTATTAATAGAGTTTTTACTGTATTTTGATCCTATTTATAGCACATATCATGCTGGTAGTGCTTACCATTGGAATGCTGTGATAGTTAATATGGATGTATCCTATAAGGCCAGATACATACAGACCACTTCAAAAGTGTTACTGTTCAGTGACTATGGCATTACATATCTAATATGACCTGCTTGCAAAATAGGGGTTTTGTGTGCTCACTTCACAATATGAAGCCATTAGGTTCAGTCTCTTAGCTTACTGCTCATGTGGCAATATGAAATAGATTATATTCTGCCAAGACCAAATATGTTTGGGAGAATGGCATCCTTATTCGATAGGGGAGGATAAAAACTGTTGTTCCTGCATGCTGTTCTTGTCTTTTGTGCATGTTAAAGAACCTCATCACTAATTTTTTTCACAGAATGATAATTCTTTTCTTTCATGTCAGACTTTGTAGTAATTTGTTAGACCTCTTCGTCTGTTATTCTAAGTAATACTAGATAGTAAATAAAAATATAAATAAAAATGTTGTGTTTGTAGGAATGCCACAAATGGGTCGTGAGATTGGTCGTGGTCAGTATGGTGTCGTCTATGCGTGTGATTCTTGGGGCGGCCATTCGCCATGTGCTTTGAAGTCGGTTGTCCCACCAGATGAAAAGCATTGGAATGACCTGGCATTGGAATTCCATTACACAAGGTAGTCAGATCTTCTCCGATCAATTAAATTATTTTATAATTTATTATAATTCTGATGTTATATGATGCATTGCAAGCAAGATTGGTGTTCATTTGCTATTTTCTGTTTGTTTTAGATCAATTAATGACCATGACAGAATAGTGACACTACGAGGATCAATAATCGACAATTCGTATGGGAACGGTACGTCACCGGCTGTTTTACTGATCATGGACAGATTGCAGCGCGATCTGTACGTTGGGATCAAGATGGGATTGGACACTGTCAGTCGAATGCAGATAGCCATGGACGTCGTGGAAGGAATTCGATATTTGCACAGTCAGGGTCTAGTACACCGAGATATTAAACTCAAGAATGTCTTGGTGAGTACGTCCATGATATGTACAATATCTGTCCAAGAAAATAACCCTGGGTCATCTGGTGTTACAACTAGCATCGACCTTTGTCCACAACAATTAAGGCAAGGTGCTCATGTTAGAACCAAGGTGATCATATTGTACATCCATGTGCTTGCATGGTGGATCTATCTGGCACAGCAGCTCTCATCAAATGTAACATTTACACATTATTTGACACAATGAGATAGGAACTTGTTGAGATTCTGTGTGGATATTAACAGCCTCTGAGGAGAAAGAGTTTCCACCTTCAGAAGAAAACACCTGTCATAATGCTACTACATGTACTAATGTTGGGATTCAAACCCACACACAATGAGTTCAATCACGTTTTGGTACTTAACCCCAGACCACTGGACCACAGTTGTCATTTCCACAAATACATGATGTTCTTCTTTCATTTACAGCTTGATAAACAAAACCGAGGAAAGATCACTGACTTGGGATTCTGCAAACCGGAAGCTATGATGAGTGGTAGTATCGTTGGCACTCCTATACACATGGCACCCGAGTTGTTTACAGGTCGCTATGACAACAGTGTTGATGTGTATGCGTTTGGTATATTGTTCTGGTATATATGCGCTGGCCATATCAGGCTACCTTTGGCATTTGAGCAGTGTGCAAGCAAGGACCATCTTTGGAATTCTGTGAGACGAGGTAATGCAAACCACTTTAATTGTCAATATCATTATTAGTTCGATTATTGCGTCTTTTAGAAATGATCAAACCAAAACATAAAGATTTGTCCTTCTTGTTCCAGGGGAAACTAAAAAGTGGTGGTGTGATTTTAATTTTATTTGTATTGAAATTATTCAATATCACATAAAAATTTATAAGTTCATTTTAATATGCATTTATTATCCATCAACATGTAGTGAAGGTGGGGGGTGTAGTGGTTGCCAGCGTCTCTCCGTCTGTACAAAGTCGTATCAGGAGCATCATTGCAGACATTCACACACTGTTATATTGAAGTTCTTGTCAACATATTTAATAACCATATATGGTCATATGACCTCATAAAAAATGCATAAATGTTGTATCTGAAGCACTATTGCAGATAGGGACATTCAACCAGTGCTTTATTGAAGACACTATTGCACACTAGATCTGATCATATTTGATAATAAACCCAATATTTGACCTCATTAAAAATGTGTTACTATCATCTGGAACACTATTGCATAGACAGGCATTTCATCAGTGTAAAAAGATCATCAATCCTTGATGGCTTTCTTGTTAAATGATGCTTTTTAATTTATCAAGGTTGATTTGGAATGACAAAACACTGTATTCCACTTCACTCATAAAGTAACCCAAAATAATGTGAGGTTTCAAACTGACATGCAAGAAACACAACCTTTAGATTCACACACAATCTTTTTGACAAGCTATGCAACTGAACATCCTTATTGATATTCCCCATGTTCCATATCTTTGTAGGTGTGCGACCCGAACGCTTGATTCATTTTGATGAGGAATGCTGGACTCTGATGAACACGTGTTGGTCTGGTGAACCAGGGCAGCGACCTCTTCTTGGCGAGGTCCATACGGCTTTATCAAAAATCTTTGAGAAAGCTAAAAAGAATCCTTCCAAACCGCTGTATCATGGTCATGCCCAGACTCACACTAGAGTATCTGATAAAAAATACAGACTAACGTAGTATACCAAAGCTTATGATGCTTTTAGATTAAGTTTGGGTTCAACCAAATTTAAAAGTCAATATTTGTTTGCTGTCAAATATGCACATTGAATGTTAATTTTGTTTTATCTTTTAAAACCCAATATATAATACTGCCTTACTTGCTGAATATGACATCTCTGTAGATTATCTTGCCAGAGGGTAGTTGGGAAGCGTCAACCAGTGTCATTTATTTTTAATATCTGAAATGTATTATTATTCAGTGAATAACTTGATATTTACAATGAAATGCACACAAGATATCCATTTCATAACAAAACTGAGGCTGATGTAGCAATGTTACTTTCCAGCTTGTGTATATATATATATTTTAAAATGTAGGGTTAAACATTTTTTCTTTTTTTTTCAATTTTCGAGGCAGAATAACGAACAATGTTGCACTTCAGTATGAGATGCCTGTTAATCGAGTTTTTAAAAATTCATGGATAAAGTAATGTAGCTATTTAGTTAACCCTTGAATGCCAGAGTCCTGTTTTACAATTCACAAAACAGGTTTGCATATTTTGGTCAAAAGTTTTGATGAAGCCCAACGCCAATAGAGATTTATGCTTAGTTGGCTTCAGATTGAAAAAGGAATTACCATATACCGGTACTACATGTATTATAAAAATACTTAAAAAGGTGTTAAATGTTTCACCAAAAATGTTGGCATTTATAGGGTTAAAAAAAAAAAACTTAGAATATTGTAAATAGAATAAGGAAATTCATTTAAGTTGTGGCTACCATAGTGTCCAAAGTAGAATTAGCGAGCCTTCTGATCTTCTAATCCATGAAGAGCTTGCAGTTCCAGTAATATTTTTATTTAAATATACTTTGAGTAAATCACTATATGATTGTAATAATGTAAATAACACCAGGGGTATTTCACACCTCATCTTTATATTTGCTTCATATTAAAAGATTATATGAATTTTTTGTTTAATAAATTATGTACTTGTATTTATGTTTTTCATTTGTATTTTTTTTTTTTTTTTTAAATTAGTGAGGTTTACTGGTAGTACTGTAGCTTATACATTTATTGTGTTGTATCGTTTAGTTCATATAGCGTAACTATGCTTTATGTGTGATTATAACGAATAGAACATTTTTCGTTCACTATGTGATTTCAGATTACGTGAAATTGAACGTAAAACAGGACAAACAAAGGTCATAGCATTGTAGCGAGGTCAAAAAAACATTGTGTGGGACTCAACAACGCTTAATAATGTGCTATACACAATTGATGATGAATTCTTTTTCAAAGATTGGCATTTCAACATTGAGCGTATTAAAAAAAAGGAATTCAAATTCAAAATATAATCATTTATTTTTCGCAGCAGACATGTGGTCTGTGCCGTTCACGCAATACCTGAGATCACAGAGTGAATGAAAAATCAACTACTGTCACTAGAATTCATAAAAATGCTCAGTTTGTATCTTATTCTCAGTCTTATGGATGGTGAAAATTTCTTTCTCTGTTAATTGATGATTTGCCACTTTTATCATTTCATTTTCATTGCATGCATTCTAAATCAAATTTGTCTAGCTGTTTTGATAATGTAGGTCTCAGTTTTGTGTTATCTAATCATAGTTGTCTCATTCATTCCTTCCTTTTTCCTGCATGTGCAGTCATCCCAGTGTTGAATCTCGGCTAAATGAATCACTTCATACTCATATCATCATTACATCAATCTAAATATTGAACTTGACTTGAACAGGGTATTTTCTCAGGTAAAAATTGAATGTCTTCTGATTTTGAAACTGGTAGTTATAGTAACTACTACGGTATAGCATGTCTACCCTAAATCATGTCTTCCACATTGCTGTCTTGAATGTATTTTAATAAACCAAAGTTTTATCAGTTTGTAATTAACTGTATGCATAACCTAAAGGTCACACATCTCGATACTTTATTTTTGGGGGGGGGGGTTAAAATTCACTATTAAATGAGAATTTCAAAATTATTTGCCAAAGAAAAAATTTCATAAACGGTTAAAACTGGCAATAATCAATGTATTGTACACAAATTATTGCTGTCGTAGAGCAACAGTACCCCCAGAAATACCTGGATGTGTGACCTTTAGGGGGCTTGCATATGGCTCATTGTATTTTACATCAATAATACCGGTACTATCCACATCATGGTTTTGGTTTTCATTTCATACAGTATCATGTGTTTCTTTTTTTGTAATTTTATTTCTTAATTTTTTTTAGAAGTTTATGGCTTTATACAAAAGATCTCTGAGCATTAATAACAAAGCAAGTAGTCTAAAATTCCTACCAAAACATTTTTTTGGCTTTTATACATATGGTTAAACAACAAAAAACTTATTTTAAGAACGTGTAATTCTACATAGTTTTAGTTGAGCTGGAGCAACCTTTCAACAAACAAGCTGCCCTCTGATTGGTGTTAGGGTCTTCATTTTGAGTCTACAATTTCCATGTTTATGAAACCAGTCTCCTTGTTGCTATTAGTAACACGTGCTTACGTAAATAGAATTATATCCATGGTCGAAATACTAGTAAATACTATTGATACAACAGACAATAAATCCACTTTTTGATACTTTAATAAGCAAATTGCTCCTGTACTCAATGATAGCAGATGTTTGAAGTACACAGGTCAGTGGGAGAAACTAGATAGTGGGTATTATTCTTCCCAGTTATGTGACATCTACTTTGTTTACTTGGTCCAAAGACGATCCCATCGTGTAATAATTTTTACTCTTGTGATTAACAATGTCAAGAAACTATCAGCCATAATTTTTTTTGTTTGTGCTTGGGTTTTGAATTAAGATAATCTCTCCATTAGAAGTGCATCTCCAATAGAAACGCACATAAATTTATATTTAGTGTATGTTTTTGGCTCTTTTCGACCATTGACATATACCGTATATGTTATTTACGTAACCGTATGCGCTTCTAAAGGGAAACATACGTCACTCGTGATTAGAGTGACCGTTCAGTTTAGTGTGAGTTTCTTTTGAAATTGCCTCATGATTTGTTTTGGAGTACATACAGTACATTCTGAGCAAAACTTAACTAGCTTTGTCTTTCCAAAAAAAAATTAATAATAATTTTTAAATCAAGTATCGTTGTCTTCAATAATTACAACTTATTGTTTACAGTGTTTACCTTTGTTGCTAGATAATTTTAGTTTCTAAAGCTAGCTGATTAATACTGTACATGAAGACGGTATATGTCACATGTGAATTTGGCTGTAGATTTGAAAATGCCACCTGACAGATTAACCTTTGACTTCCCTGGGTAGAATAGAACACACACATGAATATACCATTCTATGTAATGATACAATTACAAATGTCATGTTTTTAATTATTTGTGATTCCAGTAGGAGTAGATACCCACTAATATAGTGATTTGTATCAGTCACATTGGCATAAATATCTTTAATAGATTACATGTTTTTGATGCCACTGTGACTGTTACCAGGGTAACACATTCAACTTTTTTTCATTTTCTTCTCCGCACACCTCCCATTCCTGTTTGCTATTAAATCAACACATTCAGAAGGCGTCATTTAAATGGTTCGCTTATGTAAATTGCAGTGTGTTCAGAATGAATGTCTATTTCTGGCAAACTGTATTCATTTGCAGTCATGTGACTATATTCTATGCATGTCTAGTGTGAAGTCTCTAAAACATGAATACAGTCACTCTCATAGGAGTTGCAAGGTACAGGCATATAGTTGCTTGCTGTCATGTCGTGAAAAAAAATGTCTTGTTACATTGATAGATTAGTTTTTCTCCTAGAAAACAGCATCTTTCAAAAATGTATTGCAAACTTACCTTACCTTATAGTGATAGTCAATGATGGGTGAAATGTGCTAAGTTTTATAAATTTTTTTTGTCACTTTTGTTTTTGTGCAGATTTTATGTATTTATTGTTATCTGGTAAAAGTACCCTTTATTAGTACATTTACCTAACAAAATCAGGACAAATCCACATGACCAAAATACCTGATAAAGTGAAGTAATTGGTAGTAAAAGTAGATTCTTTAACAATCTTTAAGGGCGCCCTCATGTGGTCATTACTGGGATATCTTTTCTTTTTGTTAGGTCATTAGGTTAAACGTGGATGACTTACTGTCTCTATTAAAACCTGGTTGTTTTAGGAACCCACTGGTAAATGAATATTTACACGAGGGCGAGGAGGGGTGGGGCACAGTTGAACTTGTTACTGGTTGTAGTGTTATAGCATTAAACACAATATTCATTTATCAAATATTAAAAGTAAATCTTCACAAACTTGATGTTTTGTTTCATGTCGTCCTGCATGTGTTTGAGTCTTTTGTGAATGACTTGTGTAGGGTTTCTACGGAAACAAAAATCATACAAGACTGCAGTTAAAGGGCCACATTCAACAACTTGAGATTAAATGATGCCCAGGTCGTTTTCATTTGATGTTATACAAACTCATTGATGACTTGATACATGTTTTAAGCAATGTGAAAAGTGTGCTGAGAGAACTGTTTTCATCAAGTTAGATTCAGTTTTCCTAGAAAATAATTTTAGTAAGTTACTAGTAGTATAAACCCAGAGTTTAGTCGGTCAAGCTCACACACTTCAACAAATGATTGACCAAAATTTATGTCTGTAATATTACTGTTTTTTTCACCTCTATTGTTCTAATATGTTAAAACGTACATAGAAGACAGTTTTTGTTCAGCTACCTTTGTCAGCACTTACTAAGTACAGATGCGATGTCTACAGGTCATATGCCCATTGTCCTCTCATACAAAAGGAGTTAGGTAATGCACATAATGCTGTGACAGCACACAGCCCATGATAAGACTACAGATAAACTACCGGTACCTAAAACCCATTGCATTTGCAGTATTATTTTGTTAAGTATAGCAACTTGGAAGCTAACAGATGCTAATAATCTTTATGGACTTAAATTTGTAATTTGTGCTGTATAGTAATCTAGGAATGGTACTGTAGGTATGGAACTTTAGGAAAATTAACAACACCAAGGTGGATGATGTCAGCTTTGTATCAATCTACCATAAAATGATCTATTTCCACAAACAGTACCATCTAGTACCGGGAGGCACTGCAACCTAGCAGTACACCTGGTTGTTAGCATTAAACTGCCGATAGACCATCACATGTGACGGCAACAAGTCAGGAAATAGACACTTGTTTATTAGTTCAATTAGAACCCTTGACCCCAGAGAAGGTTCATGTTAGAAGCCTAAAGTTCATTCTAAGCACAGCCAGGAAAGCATGCAAGAAACCTCTAAATACTGGAAGTGGAATGAGAAATACACATTTATATAATGGAGTTTTTGTATTTTTTCTATCGTGTCAAGATCGCACAGTGTCCAGTTTTGACTGCATTTACATTACAAGTACATTTTTTTCCCTTTTTTCCAAAGATTTTGATCAAGACCTATAGCAAAGGACAATAATGTCCATTTGTTCTAAAATTAACTAAGAAATTATGGCAAAATAAATTGAAATGTTGGACCAAAAATTTGGGATATGGCATTCCAATATAAATAGCATTTTCACTCAACAGTTCTCATCACTGTATACATATGTGGTTATTCATGGGCACTTCATTTAATTAGTACTTGCATATCCATAAATTTCAAGTTGAACAGATCATATACCATCTTATGAGAAGCAACTTAACAACCGAGTGCTATAAACATTTCCTTCATAGAATAATGGGAATTCATAAATTTAAATAAACTGCAGATTTATTATTGAAGTCATATGACCACTGATGGCTCATCTAATATACACAAGTGGGTGCAAGAACAACATTCCAACAGATTGACGCAAAAATAATTTTACAAACCACTACGGGAAATAAAATAATGATCATTCTCTAAGATACATGATAACAGATATATCTCCAAATATGAGATGTCTTTCAGGAAAAAAAACAAGCAAATCTTCATTTATTTCGCTGGTACCGGTGGTTGCCAGGATTCTATTTTGGGTCTAGTAGTAGTGCTCGGTACATATCTCTGCGGAGTACCAGACAAATTTTCCTTATGGTGTGGCCAGATGAACTTGCGTTGCACGGGAGGTACTTCCGTTGGTGGATCATCTGTCATTTGATGTATCCAACGATGCCTAAACATATAAAATAGAAAATACATAAAAACATGCATGATAATGTGCTTATTTACGTAAAGACTCATAAATCACATTACATATTTAATATGGATGAATATTTATAATAAGTAATAATAAATTTATAATAAATTAATGCATGTATGCATTAATTATTATTATAATTAATATTATATTATATTATAATTAATATTATTATTAATATTATAATTAATATTCTTATTTACATAAATAAGCATCACATTACGTATTTAGTATGGATGAATATTTATAATAAGTTAAACTACTTACCATTCTGGAGGAATTTGGCTGCCATCAAAGTCCCAGTATCTAGTTGGGCTGTACTCCACCCACCTATTTCGAGCTACAATTAATTTCAAAAACAGAGTAAGAATGCATGATGTACATGCAAGTCAAAGCTTGTGCATATATGGAGTGGTTTATTGCTATTATAATATATCAACTTCATTTCTGTAGCATTTTCGGCACTCTCGACCTTTTTACAAAATAAAAAAAAGAGTCATTTTCGAACGACGTGTAATGGGCATCTGCTGGTCGACACAGTGATCAGATGAAATGGGCCTTGGAACCAGTATTTAATCTCTTATCACACACTCGCGCTTAGTACACAGAAACGCACAGAACAGCAAGTTTAGATATCATCACAATCAAAGGAAGTTTATTTCTACAACGCAAGAAACTAGCAAATAATTAGAAATTGAATAAAACAATGAAGGTATAAACATGAATAAACTGCACAAGCTCAACGCTTAATTTACATATGAATAGCTGTGAATAAATTATCATCAGCAGAACATTACCAGCAGCGCGCACTGTGCACCATTTTTGAAAACATGTACTATGGACTTATTATCATTGTCGAATTATCTATTTTGTGTCCACTAATTAGTCCACTAAAGGTGCATTTATGAAACAAAGCAGATGCTACATGTGTACTTTGATTGTGGGTATTAAACATAGAAGCGGTGCCAGATTCTGCGGGAGTTGGTCGCTACTATGCCTGTGTTTTCATGGGTACGGATGACGTTGTTGGAAACGCCCGCTTCGATCGCTGCGGTCACTTCTCTATCAGAGGATTTGTTTTTATACCTAAAAACTGCGAGAAAGGATACTGGACATTCCTTGACTCTGATTATTTGTGAGTTTGTTGGTGTAAGACCGAACACTAGCTTTGTTTTTATGTGCCGTGAAATACATAATGTGTCTGGTTTCAACTCCTGCCGAATCTAACACAGAGCATGCAGTTGTCCTTACATAATGATGTGTATGAATTGTCAACAAATTTGCTGCTATCGAAATCTCTTTCATCATAGATCCCAATTTATTTTCATGAATACCAGACTGTGTGCGTGTTACATTTACACGGGGCCTCTGAAACATTTTGGACAAATACATTTTGAAATACTGCAACGAGACAATTTTCGCCGTCGGTAGCATACATTTTAGCCTGTGTTTCGAAATCGTCAAGGTCAATTTTGTTAACATTGGCAAAGCGTTTCTTTCTCTCCATCTGGACGAATTCTTTGGTTTCTGCAAGAAAATCTTGCTCTGACAGCTCCCGAACATGATACTTGGCCATGTCTATGTTGCAGACAACGAAAACATGTCGCAAAGAATAGCATGCAAAAATTGTAGGTTGTACAATTTTATTTTATTTAACCACTGCCAACCAATCACAATGATGCATTGATGGCAGTGATACACTGGTATAATATAATTTAACTCCACACCCTGGTAGAGATAACCCTATCTCCCCCACTTGGTGGCGCGGCTGAATTGCAGTGCTCCCTCTTGCAGTTTTTTTCTAGAAAAACCCTGGATTATGATAGTGATAAATTTATACAAACAACAGAGTTTTTTCATTTTTCAGAGATATAGTTTCCTATCTTGTTTAATGTTTTTTTGTAGAATCATCATTTATCTTGATAAGCATTATATAAATTAGAAAAAAAAATTCTGTTATTTTTGGCGTTGGTTCATACTGATATTAAAAATTGTCTCCTGTGCAGTGTGCCCTTAAACAGGGCTGATTTTGTAGAAATCTGGTGTCAAAATATAATCCCCCAAATCGAATCGAGTCATCAGTGAATAAACACAATTAGTTATGTCACAGCAAATCTCTGTGCGTCAGTGGCATGCCATGTTGGAATAGAGGGCACACTTCTCCTGTGTCATGTATAAAGAAAAAAGTGTGATACGAGATGTATACTAACCTACAAAGTAGTTGTCATTTTTAAAATATTTATTCCCATACTTGTCAATACCAACTAAAGTACCGGCTCTGAGATCAACTCCTCTAGAAAACAAGAGGAAAAATATAAATAATTATTTATAAGATTTTTACCAAAATCAGAGTCCTGCACATATTACTTAATTCACACATGACAAGTGAAAAACAAGGCTCACCTCATCTTCGCAACATGCCTTATATTAAGACCTTAAATTGTCAGTCATAGTGTTGTGGGTTATGGTGTGTTGTGGGTTCCATCATGGCGGCATAAATACATTGTTTCAATTCAAACACAAAATGATAGAGATTCAATGATCAACCCTAACCCTACTAAATGCTCGTTTCTGTCAGATCATACACCTGCACTGCAGGTTTTAAAGTGCTGATGAATATATTTAATTATATATGCTTGCAAATTTTCATCATCAAACTGATTCTCATTATTTTGAGCAAAGACAAGGCTCTGTACTATCAGAATATATTCATTCTGCCCCATAGACATCTATGTATTGACTTCAGCAACCAAGTACAGTATACAATATCGACCGCCTTTGACATAAACAACAACACGTCATCAGAGGACTGCGTGATATTAACCCCCCCCCCCCGATTTTATGATGAGTAAAGGCACCGGGGGCGTGCTTCACATTGAGAAAATAAAATGTTAAACTGCTTAAATTAACAGTTACTCTTGTTTTCTAATCACATTATACTTATGTTTGATATTATAGGAGAAACTGGCCATGAAAGAATCTGTTGCCAGTTGAATACTGTATGTCGACGCCACCATGTTCACAAAACTTCAATGTGGAAATATAATGAATTCAGTATATTTCCGTATCAGTTTACCTCAGAATTTTCCAGCATGAACCACCTATGCCTCCGTTTTGTTGAATAACTCTCCATGCTTTCAAACACTGGCGCATATACGTGATTAGCGGCATTTTGTGAGAGCTGCCTCAACACTTTTAGCACGTAAACCGAGACACAGAGGTCAGACGAATTCAGTTACGTTAGATTCGAATTCGTACAAAAGATTCATTACGGATACTAAAGACACCGTTCTGTGTAAGCTTATACCAGCCCGAAAACTTTACAATGTTAATACATGGTCAGCTATATTATTTGGGTATAATATTTTATACGACACAAATTGAACGCCATTATAATTAGAAAATTTGTTTTAAATATATTTGATTTAAACGATTAAATTACCAATATGTATTAGAATCTAATTATAATGCCATAGTCGTTTAGGTCAAAGGTGAGTCCGACCTCGTTTTCGTTTAGATGAACTACAAATCATAACAAATGGCGGCCATTTCAAGAAGAGAGAAGTTCGTGGCAATTTCCCAGTCTTTCAGATCTCGTCTGGAGGTAAGCTTTCAAATTCTATGTTGAGCAAAATTAAATTGCCACAACCAGGACGAGTAAGAACAGACAATTTATTAAGAACGTCTCTAGATTTGGAGCAAATTGTAAAGCATGTTCAAACACGATACACCGTCCACACCAGGCAATGATCTGAACATTTTTTTAATTTCCTATGATACTGTACAACATATAATATCAGAGGAACATTACTTGGGGTTTGCAACGCGCATAGTACTGTATGGTGACATCATGCCAAGATCCCATTCAAGTCTCATCTCGTAGATGGTGAGACTGTAGCTGCGGTTCCGTAGCTCTTTGGTGCGACCTACAATCGAATTTCGCCCTAACAATTTCATTTGGACGTCTTTTTTTAATTTTGTTGTTATGGGCCGGCCAGAGTCAGTCACGTAAATAATGCGGTCGGCAACATACGGCTATGATTCCACAGCTAGTGAGACTGATGCTACTACCTTCTAACATGACATAGGCGGTTTGTAATAAAACAATAAAACACGTATTACCACATTCATAGTGAAAAAATGTAATACATCAAAAATGTACAGAAAATATAGTTATCGTAATCAGTTATAACAAGAGCAGCTATTTTGATCCACCCAGACATCCCAGTATCCTAGTTACCTTGGGCATGCGCATTCGCATTTTTCTGAGTTGGGCCGCTTATGCGAGAGCGAGATTGAAACAGGATCTTGCTATCATGTCACCGTAGTTGCAAACCCCAAGCATGAAGGTAAAATCTCTTTTTACCTCCATGCCCCAAGTAATGTACCTCTGATAATATATATATTAGATTTGCACAAACGTGAGTTGGAAGTTTAATGGAAAACTTTGTCGTCCAAATGTGCACAGTACGTGTGAAATGGAAATGGCTTCCTGGTCCTGTTATACATGTATAAAGATTTGTTTTCAATTTTTTAAAGCTGCTTTCTTTGATCATTAAAATACCTATATGTTACTAGTATATCAATAACACTAATTTCATAACCCAAATGGAACCGCATGATATTAACAAGCTACTACTGATTGTATATTAAATCAATCTACATGCTGCGTATACCAGTAATAAACTCATCCAACCGAGCTGTGGTTGCAGTGGGTAGGAAACAGTGTGCCATGTATATGATTAGGCAACTTTAGGTCCATACATGTAGCTCTTCTTGTGACATCAATTAGTCTTCGTGATGATCAAACAAGGACTATAATTACATGGCCGACTGATGTCACCATACATGTAGCTCTTTCAATATCCAAAAATAACAACTTTAGGTCACCCAAATGTATCAGAAAAAAATAAAAATACCATCACAATAACTGAATACTGTCACAACTCACACAAGAAATTATGAATCAACAGCTAATGATTAGGAAAACAGGAAAAAAAATAATCAATAAAAAATGAAAATATCAGAAGAAATTCCAAGAATTTTGAAAGCATATTAATAAGTGACATCAATACCTAGGGCAGGCTGTCTAGACTCAAAACAGATTCGCAAATATTGGCCTAAAGAAATTGACAGGGATACATTGCTCAAGTGCTCAAGATAAATCTGAACTTGTCATCATGGTTTATTGTATTGAAATTTGTGGATATTTTTCTTGATTACGTAAATAGAATGTTTTTGTGTGCATGCATAGACAGGGCAAGACATCACAATGTGTTGTTCACCTTCTATCTGATTTGTGTTACAGAGAAAGACATGCCCCTTCATTGCTGGCAATTGAGTATAGTGCCCTGTTTCAATTCTCAATGGTTACTTAGATCAAACTTAGTAATTTCCGGTGTTCAATATTTTTATCCTCTAAAATATTTTTTTTTTTTTTTTTGGAAAAAGTCGGTAGGTTCTTACATTTTATTGTTATTATTTATTTCATTTGTAGGAAGTGAATTGTCCATTTGTTGAAGATGTCGATGATTCATGGATTATGGAACATATATTCACACCTGGTGAGCAACGCATCAGATTGCTGCAGTGGCTTTTTAGTAGGTAAGGTATTTTTTAACCACAAACATTGGCTGCTGGGGTCAGTGTTGGTACTATTGGAGTTTGGTTATACTTGAACATGCATGGACAAAAATTAATGATATTATTATGCAGTTAGGAAATGTAGATAGGCAGGAGATATGTGTGCTTAAATGAATAATCCCCCCCCCCTCGTCTTGGAGATCAGTGTAAAAATGGAAATTTGTACCATTTTGCATGACTTTTTAAACTCTTCGATCATGAAAAGTTGTCCACTGACACCACATAATTTTTTTTGTTTCTATTCAGTAATCATAAATATCTAAGTATGACAATCAAGACATATATTCTTCAATTTGACTTGAACTTCTTCAAAAACATAATTCCAGAAAATTGCAATGTGAAATATCATATATATATAGAATTATAACAATTAAACTATATAGACCTGCTGTAAGTAAGTGCAAGTGTTAGTTTTACAAGAATTTTGTAATCATTTTGTTGCAGATTTGATCCACACCTCACTGAACTTTTCGATTCTCAGTGCATACCATCAGATACTAAAATAGATTCCAGATTACAAAGTAAGTCTTTATTTCTTGATCATCCCTGACATCTTTGCTACCGTTGTATTGTTCCACAAAGTACAATATTTGTGAGTATGAAAACAAAGATGGCGAAAGTTATTCTTAGTAACCAGTGTCACAGCTATGCTCCAAGTGTGTTTATTTCTTAGGTGATGTTTCTCTTCTCTTCTCTTTGCCTCTCTCTATTATATGACTTCTGGTCAACAAACATATGTGTGAAAAATTACAAGCATTGTGTAATATCCAGTGAATTGTATTCTGCATATTTTCACAACAAGTCCACAGCACAGAATGTTAAAGCGGGGGCGTACACCTCCCAAGCTTACAACCTTCCACTCTGTTTAATACGTTTTATTCTTCTTTTTAGGATTGCTGTATGTGTCATCAATATTAGGTCTATGTAATCCAAATGATGTTGAACTTGTACGGGTAAGTATTAAGTAGGCACTAGAAAAACAACAAATTTGTGTGTAATGTTTCAATATGGTATAAATTATAATGAAATTCTGATATAGATGTGCAGGAGTTTTGCATACTGATGGCTCTGTTTTTTGTTATCCTGAAGGGTAATACATCCAAGTCCAAACAGATTGACTTCATAGATCAGTTAATAGATATGGTATATATATCAGAGACATCTGAAGATGTGTCCAAGAGGGCAATGAGTAGCCCTGGTCTAATCGAGTAAGATACTGTCATTTCTATAAGTACCGGTACTAATACATGTAACTGACTACTGTAAAATACTTTATTTTCGCTTGGAATTAATTTTCGCTATTTTCGCTGAAGGAATGATTCTGTGAAAATAAAATCCAGCGAATATACATTTTTTTTTCCTATGTTTTATATTAAACTTGTCAAAAATCAGTGAAAATAAATTCCATACAAAACACCCAAAAAGTCTTTTCAGCAAAAATAAAGTATTTCAGAGTAACTAATACACATCAATAGAGGCCTATGTAAACCAAGATGTCTGTTTTGCACACCAGCCTCATTCTTAAATGTTTTAACAGCATTGCATACCATGGAAAGCGATCAAATACATATCAGACTGCTTGGTTGACCTGAACAAAAATATAATTGTATGTGCTTATTTACCGGTAGGCATATTAAATCAATAACAAATGTTTGCCATGCTTGATACTGTCGTTACCAGTAATTTTTGTCTGCATAATCATGTTTTATTCTCAATAACTCAGTGATTCGTAACCCTAATTATATTTCCCTTTTTCCAGTGAATCAGTGAGTTTGCCCGAGCAAGTGAACCATGACTGTAATCTTCTGGAAACCATTGTCAGACAAGAAAATATGAATGCATTGTTTTCCGTTAAAACTTCATTACTGCCTCCAGATCTAACGAAAAACATGAGAACGTCCATGAAGGAACTAGGATATGGACCAGATCAAAGGTTTGTAGTCAGGGAAAATAATTGAGCTTTATTCAGTTCAAATCAGTTATTTAAAGTCCACTGTATTTGCTGCATTATTGACAGAGATGTGTCTATGGTTAAAATAAGTCGTAATGTTCCATATAATGTTCCAGCTTTCAATAAATTCTATTTTTGATTTAAAGTGTGTGCTTCCAATAATTCAAAGCAAATTGTTTTACCCTTTAAAACACTGTTCATCATTTTGATGTTTTCATTTTCTATTGCTTAGATACGAGCTTCCCCAGACATACAAGTTAGAATGTCTTTCAGAAGAGCTGGCTAAACAGTTGATCAGATCAACTGCACATTTAAAAGAACTTGTAAGTTTTAGAAATGAATGGTTTTATTTTATTCTGCTTTTAATCATCAGATTTGCCTACATCGTTAGTATGCCATACAAGTAATTGTTGGCTATACATGTAGCCTGGAATTCTCTTTAAACCATCAGATTTGTCTACATCATTGGTATGCCCCCATACATGTGACCTAAAATTCTCTTGTGATATAAAGTCTTGTTTTCATTCAGAACAAAAATGTAAAACATAGGTTTTTTTTTTAAATTTCACTTTGAAATTAGTCCTATGGTTGTATCCAGGTTTTGGGACTGTAATATATTTACTGGCACTAAATGCAGGCATTACTAATTCAGAAATGAGTCAAATCTTTGGTTATCTACATGTGTCAGATCATTGAATGTTTACACAAACTGAAAATAGCATAATCCTATTAAATACTAATATCAATAAAAACTATGTATATCAGCTTGATTTAGCAAATTAGAAATAAAAAGGTGGAATAAAAAACCTATATACCAGTAGTCTTGACTATATTCTAATGCAAAGATGCACTGTAAATATTCCCAGCGTTTGCAACTTCAGTTCATCATATATTTTTGTAAATGTTGCCAGATGCTAATAAATTTTTAGGAATAATCTCACTGTTTAACTTTATAAAGCCAATAATCCTTTATTCATTGTTCAACACAATACTAGCATTCAGTGTCAAATAAAATGTCAATCTGCTCTACACGCTTAACATAATGGTACCTATAATAGAGTTATTTCTAGAAAAAAACTGCAAGAGGGAGCACTGCGGCGCCACTAAGTGAGGGAGATAGGGTTCTCCCTACCAGGGTGTGGAGTTAAAATGGAGCACTCTATGGCTTCCTTGGGGCCAAAATTACCATCAGACAGGTCACAGTTGAAGACTGCAGCTACATGTGATCCCTGGTTAATCAGAATTTTATGGTTGCCAGAGGATCTGCTCCCCTAGTGAGGGGTGCATGGCCATGGCATGAGGGCGCTGTGCCCCTGTTCCCTTGTTTAAAAAAATCCCTGCTACAATGTATACACATCCTCTAATATAACATTTTTGTGTGTGTTGCAACAGAGACAGGAATTAGAAAATTAAATAGAGAAATTATTAAGATAATTGTGTGAAACAGTCAGGTTTTAGTCTTGAAAAGGTAATGAGAACATCCACCTTAGATGTAGAAAACTACTGTTCTAATGATCTAAGTATTCATTTTTCGTAGTATTAATCTCAAATTATTCTTCACCTTCAGCATGCATGTCCTGAATACGATGAAAGCGTTGTCAAGAAAGTCATAAAAACTACCGAATTGGTGTCATCTGAGCTGGCACAGCTAGTAACTGGATTCACCTTCACATTTGAGAACGAGATGAGACCGTGGTGTGGCCGATCACCGCCCATTTTAAGTGATATTGGGGTCTCATTTAAACGAGTTTATACACTTCTTCAGAACTTTATGCAAGTATGTACAAGTGTTTGTTACTTTTTACCAAATGTTGTTAACTAGTATCAGTACTCATCTTTCACATAGTGAGGTGTATGTGGTGTTCATAGATGCTACTAAGGCACATTTGGATTTTGCAAGGCTATTATTCTCAATGACTGATTTTTTTTTGTACATGTGTATACTGAAAAAAAGTACTGCAGTTTAAGTGAAGATCCTATTTATACAAAAATAATATTTTAGTGGAAATCACAAAGCCTATCATATCGCATCTTCGCTAGCCAAGGTCCAAGTTTATTCGGCCAAGCCTCTAAACAGACCTTGGCAGAACGACCATCAAATATGCTTATTCTAACAGCGCCCCTAGTAGTCAGTTGCGGCTAATCATTGTCCAATCAGTTTGCGTGTTACAAATCCCTCTTTTGCGTTTCATTCTAAACAAAATCGTGATATTTGTGATGATAAAATTGCGAAAGTTTTTGGTGTTGGTGCCCTCAAGCCTCATCAGGTACAGGCAATCGACGCAGTTTTGTGTGGGAAGGATGTCTTCATAGCGACAAAAACAGGAAGTGGAATTTTGTTTTATAATTTAGTACGTCCAAGCTTGTTTCGAGGCGCGCCTAATCAGATCTCACTGCTTAAGATATGCAATTAGCCTATGCGATTCCGCACGGTATCGTGTAGAGGCCTATAGTTCTAAGATACAGGACCGCGCGATTCGGACGATGGTCATACAGTAAGCCTTCTATTAATTAACTATGAGTTGCCTGTAAATATTTTAATTATTGATTTCATGATACTGTTATTTTTAGACCTTACAAAGTTTCTCCATGATAAAGACATCAGTTAACAGTATTTTGAAATCACAGAAGGATGTGGACATCCCACAAGAAGCTGGTAAATATTATTATTCAATATATTTATTAAAACTTGTTCTCACTCAAAACCATAACCCTTGTTTTCTATGGTAGAACAAACCCATATTTTCATAAATGGAGGGAGCTGGTGAAATGGATACAGAGTTTATAATGGTCACTCTAAAATTGTTGAAATTAATAATGGTTTCAGTAAACAACCGAGATTTTATTTTTTTATTTTTCAGAAATGATTGATCGTTTCAAGGAGTGTGTTCAGATTTTAAATGATTTATCCAGCAGTCAACAGGAAAAGAGGTACTGAAGATATAGGAGAGAGTGACCACTGGTACCTACTTACAAGGGTATCCCATAATAAGAATGGCTGCAGAATGTACCCCTCTCTTGCTAGCCAGTGGGATGCCTTAGTCAACTAAGAGCAACATCTCAAACCATCCAATAATTTGACAACCATTCATATTTCAATAAATTTCCCAGATGCTAAATATACAAGAATATTGTGTACTGTTTTCAATTCAGTTAAATGTACCCCCAGAAGCATACTGTTATAATTGTCCATTTATATGCTGGTATAAGCGAAAACATCTTTAGTAAGAGTGTGATTATGGGTAGAAGCTTTTAGCCCACTGGTTTTATTCGCCACACCAAACATGTTGGTAAAAGATGCTATGTTTGTACACCAGGGGTTGTGAAATACTTAAAATTTTTGACAAAACTCAGTTGAAAGCTTTTTTTTAATTTTGTGAAGATTACAGCATTCTTCAGATGATGTATTGCGTAGTTTATCATCTGTCTTCACTACATTAATCCTGTCGTGCATTGCTGTTTAATAGTAGTATACTTTGGGGCCGCACTAAACACAACTACCGTTAACCTAGGAAGTACATAATGATGCTTGCTTGTGCACAGTGGTAATACAAGTAAAATAGTCTTATAAACATAATTAGAAACTGAATTGTCTGGTGTGCATCTCAGATAATTTTAATGGAAATGCTTTACATTGAATATTGACTTTGTAATATACATATAATCCGGATTGTTGAACAGAAAAATCCTGCATTGGATTTAATGGCATGATGGCACACTAAGATGCTGAAAACCCAGTCACAATCGATTCTAAGAAACTTTTCAGTTATGTTCAGCTACTGTGGAATACTTTATTTTCGCTGGAATTAATTTTCGCTGAAAAGGCTTTTTGGGCGTTTTGTATGGAATTTATTTTCACTGATTTTTGATGAGTTTAATGTGAAATATAGGAAAAAAAGTATATTCGCTGGATTTTATTTTCACGGAATCATCCCTTCAGCGAAAATAGCGAAAATAAATTCCAAGTGAAAATAAAGTATTCTACAGTATTTGAATACCGTAGCTGCTGCACTTGCAGTACACATAATTACTTGACGAAGGGTTCAAATAAAATTTTGCTGACAATACAACTTGTATATAACTTAAGATATCAGCAGAGCAGTTCACTTAAGAAATATGGAATTATTAGTCTTATGTTTTGGGTTCTGTCGTTGTGCGTCAGTCGTCATTTCTCAGAAACACCTGGACAGATTTTCTTCAAAGCTGGTACAAAAACAAGTCATGATGGGAGACATGTGCACATCAATTTATTTTTTTGTTTGGGTTGACATTTTTTCCACCCAAAACACCATAAATCAACACTTGGACATGTCATCAACTGTTTCTTGGACGTGCCTTGACCGATTTCATTCAAACTTGGGTTTGACATCAGTCATGGTGGGTTACTGATGCACGTCATTTTTTTCGTGATTCGATTATAAATGGCGGACTGGTGGCCATTTTGTTTTTTACCAGTGTTATGCAATTTTCATGTTGTACTAAGATAGTTTTTTTTATCTCTGCAGTCATAAAAGATGACACCACAGAGCTGTTAATATAGGCGTTTGTCTGTAGTCAATTCTAATTTTGACTTCGTTAAAACTACCAACTCAATTGCAATTTGTTATGTGGGTATGTTGAGTGATTCGTTAGTTTTGTGATTCTCTAATTTTTGCGAATATTTGTATATACTTGGTATACGTGTACCTTGGATGGACCACTACATGTATTAGATTAGTTCTCTTTATGCCATTGGGGGTGGGGGGTTTTGACCTCAAAAAGTTTCCATCCTACAAAAACGATTTTATTTTTTAATGAAGTCCAAAAAAATCTTGGAGTATTTGTAGTTCGTTTTTTTTCTATCCAATCACGGACAGAAATAACCGAAAAGGAAAAAAAAAACAGAAAAATGGGTTGGTTCGAGTGTAAATCTGTGCGTCAAGTGAGGTGCATTTGTAAAATCTTTTTACACCCACCCGACAACCAACTGCTATGCAATACTACTGTCCGATTATCAATTTGTATTTAATGGTGAATGTAGTCTGACGCCATGACCAATATTTATCAATTAAGTTTCAGTGGGGGGGGGGGGGGGTTTGGAAAAAAACTAAACGAATTAAGTTTTTTATCCGACATCGATCATTTGACGTTGTCCCTTATAATTGAATGTAAACAAGGTCATTTGTGTCCCCCCACTATGATATTTATTTGGCTATGCATGCCCTAATTGTTGCAAGGCTCTGCTGAAACAGCTGAGCTATTTCGACCATTGGGTTACTTGTTATGAAAATCAAATAAAAAAAAAACACTTTTGCTCTATATGTACTGTCATACATATTTTGTTAATGAAAAATGCATGGTTTTCACAAGTGTACTGAGTTTCTGTTTACTCATGGTATGCTCTGTAAGTACTTCTTCATTATTATTCATGATTGTCAGGCATAACCTCAACAAGCCCAAGTAGGTGGCTCATATGTTTGTCAAATATAAACACCTGAAAGAGGAAGTCTCCTAAAATCAGCAAAAAGACTGTTCAACAGAAATAATATATCGTATAATTTTTTCATGGCAATTGCTACGTTCACGTTAAGGGATCTCGGCAGATGCCAACATTTTTTATCTTTTGTGTTCGAAGAGGGATTAAAACAGTTGCGTTCATACTAGTTGGAACCCACTGGGCTCGTGCCGAAATCATGCATGTACATTGTTAATCAAAGCATACAAAGTGACCGATTGGTAAAAAAGATAAACAGATTCAAAAAAGTGTTGTTTTCTTCATTTTGGATACTACACTTCAGTTTGCTAAAATCCTAACAGCGACTTGTTGAGTAGCACTACGATGACATTTGGTTTTTCTGGTTGTATTATTATTATTATATAAATATTGGCTTTATATTACCGGTAGTTGTGCTTTTATAAGAATGTACCCCTGTATTTTTAAAAATGCCATGAAGAAAACAGACGTGACCTCAGTGACGTTTAATGGCAGGGAATTAAGACACTTAACAATTTGATGAGATCAAAGTACAAGTCAAACAAGTATGTGTACCAAGTGACTAACATACAATGCATGTTTTAGAAAATACAACCCAGTCAAGCTTACTTACACCAATAGTCTTAATTTGCATCTCAGAAGGAAATCTTGCCATTCATCACTTAATTTGCACATTACACATTTGAAAAGCGATTTTGATACGGCTGTGAAATGAATCATCATAGAAATGCATCTCAACATTGTGTAATGTATGTAATAAATTTGAACAAAAACTGACAAAACTAAGATACCACATTTTCAAAAAACAAGATGGCTGCCAGTCGGCCATATCCCAACCTGTATAATGTTTGTGCAAAATTTGAACGATACCGGTAACAAAGGATTTCCAAGATAACCTATTTTTTTTTTAAAAACATGCTAGCTGCCAATCGTCAAAAGCAGGGTCCATCAGAGGAATAACTAGAGGGTATGCTCTGTTAAATGCTAGGCAATCTTAAATTTAGTTCCATACCAGTATTTCAGCCACTTTGCTGACATGTTAACATTGGTCCAGGTACAAATATTCCTTGATCAGTCCTGCTCGCATTTTTTAATTTTTTTTTTTTTATTATGGCCAAAAAAAAAAATTACTCTACTTTTGACAGCACTGCAAAACTGTTGCTAATTGCGAGACCTTGAGAAGAAGTTGCAGCTTCTTAACTGCATTCATTGCCTCAGTTCACTGATGATAGACTGCTTCAATAATTTCTTTCAAATTATCTTTTGTATATCATTTAAAAGACATTCAAGTAAAGTTTATTTATTGAATTGCCTTAGTGTACAAGTTGATAGTAAGCAACCAGGGGGGTTGTAACTGTCACCGGCATGTTCTCAACACCAAAATAGCAACATTGCTGAATGGTTTACCATGTGCGCAAGGAGATCATTACATGATTAGAACAAGTTGGGTCAAACCAAGCTGAACAGGAGACGTCAAACTTAAAATGTTAAATACAAATAGAAGATCACAATGTAATCACCTTTCCATTTATCTCAATCATGTCGATTGATACTGTATAATACTTTATTTTCACTTGGAATTTATTTTCGCTGAAAGAATGATTCCGTGAAAATAAAATCCAGTGAATATACTTTTTTTTCCTATATTTCACATTAAACTCATCAAAAATCAGTGAAAATAAACTCCATACAAAACGCCCAAAAAGCCTTTTCAGCGAAAATAAAGTACCACTATTCCACAGTATATGATAAATGACAGTCATCCAAACAAATAGTGTACTGCCAGTCTGAAAGGTGAACACATGCATGGCACAATGCTTGTAAATGCACACCCTAACGTTTCAACTAATGTAAGGATCGCAAACCAATCGGCAACATAGCTGGCATTGTTGCTGTTCGGAACAATACCGGTAATACTGATCAACTTCATGGCAGTTTACTTTAAAGCAAAATACAAGTCCCCACAAAATCTGCAGGGATAACGAGCAACACTGCAATATTGCTATGTCCTTCACAGCAAAACAGCTTAGCATTATAGCCATTTTGCATATCCGGTATTAAAATTGTTAATTGCCTCTATTATATTTATAACCAAGCTTTATTCAACCAAAGTGTGGGTACTTACTATACTCTAATGCTGAGCAGCTCTCCAAAAAATGTTGCCAAATACCTGTACTCCTGTTGGTATGGTTACTTAGGCAGAGCCCAGGGTAATCAATCTGGCATTTTATTACACCGTATATATTATCCTGAACATTTCCTGGAAAAGAAGAAATATTTTGCTCCCAGACAATAGGCTCTACACACTCATCACTAACCAAGTTTCATACTTGCAACACCGGCTTAACTTTTAGTGTGTACATCTGAGGATTGGCTGTTGGGTTAGATCAAATCTGAGCACAATTACAAAACGTGTTGTGAACTGGGAGTTGTTAAAGAAAGGTCACAGAATATCATTCAGTGTTTGAGTAATAATTTTATTTAACTGGAGAGACTCGTTTATATACACCTTCACATTTTCAAAACAATTTTCAACCAGTAACTTCTTGCTTACTGGGAATGATTACAAATGTATTCGCACAACGCTGCAAAAAGAGAGCACTTAAAGATTGTGAAATTCAGCAACAATGGTACTTTAAAGTGAGTCAATACTGCAATGGTGTTAGCTTCAAATATAAGTTGACTGCACCCTCAAAATATAACCACCTGTACATGAGCTAAAAATGCACTTTTACTGTGCAGCGACCATTGCCGACTAATATGATTCCCAAGCCTGGCTACCAGGTCCACTGAAATGATGTACACAGATACAGTCCATAAATGCAGAAGTGAGATTTTGAACACAGTCAGCAATAGTCGTTGCATGATAAAAGTGAATTGAATTCCTGTTAGAATAGAAGTCCATTTTTTTTAGATCGTAATCAATAGGATTTTTGTGGTAAGATGCAATACTTTCACTGGAATACAGAAAAACAACAGTCTGAAAATTCACTTTCCTCATTCAGCATTTTACAATGGTTTAGGTGTATAACTTATCTAAATGAAAAGAAGCTGTTTTACAAAACATTGATTGTAAGTCTCTAAATTGTTGGATGTGCAGCATGATCTTCTAACCATATCAACACCATGGTGACAAAACAGGAAGCACTGGCTGCACTAGATGTTGTTGGATGTCTTCACATGACTCATCTTGCCACTTCAGAATATCTGTAATTATTCTGGCAACAGAATAGGAAACAAAATGAAGCTATCGCACTCAACATGAACAGACACTTGTGATCTTGAATGCATGACCAAGTACAAGAACTGGATGCAAAACAAAGAGTTTACTTACTCTTGCTTAACTCTTTAAAACTGCAGATCACTCTGGATAATTCACATTATCTGCAGTGTTTCCCCACTGAAAAAAAGTGACAGAGTGACTGACATGCATATATAAACAGTATTCAGTTACCGGTATATCTCTAATGCAGTCGTACACACACACACACACCAAGTTATAGTCTATACACTGAGTAACCATTTCACAATTACTTGATCAGTTTTCATTTTACTACTAAAATTAGCTTGTAGATCATTTGTCTCAAGTTCCGGTCTTGTCTTGAAGAAAGTCTGTAAGACTCTAATGTCCTAGCAATCCAAACTTTAAGCTCTATTTCATTTGTACACTATTACCACGATTTTCACCAATTTACCAATAATGTACCTTAGTATCATTACCTAGTAGTACATGAATGCACATACCAGTACTGTACATTTGTATTATGGGGGAACCACAATTACTTTACAATTGTAATTTGACCAGATAACATAGCTGGAGCCTTATTAATGGAACAGCTGTTGCCAACAGTTTAATACATGTACAAAGAAAAGGTGCAGGTTTCAGATATACATTTTACTTTTTTTTCTATTTAATGTCATAAAATGAGACACAAAAGTCATTAATAATCTATATTGAGACTAGTATAACATTTGTTAAATGTGGAATAAGAAAAAACAGGTTTTAAAAATTACAAATAGGCTGTGTCAGCTACTGAAACAAATAAAAAAGGCTTTTTTTTTTACAATATGTACATTGTAATAATGTATAAGAACTTACAAGCATAGAGGGGCTTTACTTTTCAGTGTGACAATGGAGTGGGGGACTTTCGGGGTACATCAGCAAGATGTCTTTCTCCATGAAAGCAGCAATGCTGTTCGTAACATGCCCACATTCCACAGAGGTGACGTCAAGTACTGCCCAGAAGATAATTCAGTCATGAAATATCAGCCGGTGCCAATCCTGACGTCTGAAATGAAAAATAAAATGCATCAAACATGTGTACGAAAGAAAAATAATATTGTCAACCACTATCAACGCTTCACCATTCGTCACTGTAAATGTAAATATAAACCGCGAGGCGTGCACCTTCCGTCCGCCATTTTAATAGTAGATTGTTCGGTATTTAAATTAGCACGAAAACGTCTAGTCGTCGTTTTACATCAGCAAATTTGTTCTTCCTGTTGTGCATCTTCGAAAACTCGTTCAAAATCCCTCCTGACAAAATCCTCAGTATCGGCCGTCATGCATGGAAAGGATATTAAGTTTGTTTTCTTCTCTGTGCATGAAGCAACAAGTTCATTTGTACCGTTAGTGTTACAGTTTTCGGCAAATTTATCATTCCACACAAAGTCAAACATACCGTTTCTCAAGAAATAATCGTTCGCTATAAATTCAGTAGTGTTGTGAGGCGCTGGTATATGAATTCCTTTCGTCCGGTCCGATCGGTGTTTAACTACGGGGAAAGTTTGCTTCAGATTACGCATTTTTATGCAATTTGTTCTGTGTCGGTTGCTGCCATATGGAAGTCGGCGACAGTGGTCCGACCTGTCGGCCATTTTTGTCACTGGCGCTCTGGCTGGAAAATATGCGTTAGATCGTGAACAAACACTTTCGTCGGTGGTAGTTATCCGTAACATACTTTTGATATTACCTTTAGTAAACTCTTCCAGGTGATTTTGCTCCAGTAACATGACTTGGGACGATGATTTACTAGTAGTTGTTCAGAGCACCAGATGCGCGTATCCTCTCTTCACGAAACCTACAAGGGAGTGATGAAACGTTGTTTGTACGAACTGAACGTTGTCATGAACACACCAGTGAGACTAACACAGTAAATTCGAAATGGGGGTTGATACATTTAACAACCTCCTTTTGTTGCAATATGTACATAATATCGATTAGAAATAAATTAACATAATATTAACGCAGCGTACATTTCATAAATGCAATTTTACGTAGTAAATTACACACATTAAGAATTAATGAAAATAATTTGCAACAAACCGTATTAATATACAAGTACTAACAAAATCGCGCCACCGCTCGATATTCAGAAATTGCAAACAAACAAACACCCTAGATGTAAATAACTCGATGTTAGCCTATGATTCGGGTTAGGTATTACTCGGATTCGGTTAAAATTTGTGGGCAACACATTTATGACTGGAAGAGGAATCAACTGTTATCAGTTATCTTTTTCTTGGCTTCACATTAAATATTATTTGTTTTGTACAAACAAGAAATTCTCTGGTATAAGGAAATACGATTCTCCCGACTCAGAATCAATAGAGGAATCCGAAAGTCAACTGTAAATTTCATCAGCAGCCAACTGTTCCATCAGTGCAGGGCATCAGTGCAAAGTTACAGTACACGTCTAAGGTATTGATCAGTCCTGTATGCGGCATACTTTTGTGTTAAACGTTACGCACGATTTATGCGTATTTCACTATGATTATACCAGGAAACTTCAAGACATGTGCACATTGTCAGGTTGGTATTTCTATTTACCCCGTCACCAAGTTAGTTATTATTCTATTACACACCAACGCCTATGAATGTCCCATTCAACTTACGTACATGGGTATTAACACTCCAACTTCCGTGACTGGACTGAGTGTACACTGTTTCGCTGTGTACAATATATTGCTATGTGCATTGCATATTGTTATGGCACACGGACCGAGTAATAGACGGCGATACAAGGTAAAGGCATGAAGCTAGAAAGGGAAGGAGAAAGGACACTATTTAAGCCTGTTTTAAGCTGTTGACATAGCTCCATGGTAGAAGGAAAACACCACAAATAGTGCACACTATGCAAATAGTACTGTCCCTTGAATTAACGAAATTACAGACTAGCTAAATACTAGTTTTCGACGTGCTTTCACAGTAATTCTTAGGTTTACATGTTAACTGTAAATTTCATCAGCAGCCAACTGTTCCATCAGTGCAGGGCATCAGTGCAAAGTTACAGTACACGTCTAAGGTATTGATCAGTCCTGTATGCGGCATACTTTTGTGTTAAACGTTACGCACGATTTATGCGTATTTCACTATGATTATACCAGGAAACTTCAAGACATGTGCACATTGTCAGGTTGGTATTTCTATTTACCCCGTCACCAAGTTAGTTATTATTCTATTACACACCAACGCCTATGAATGTCCCATTCAACTTACGTACATGGGTATTAACACTCCAACTTCCGTGACTGGACTGAGTGTACACTGTTTCGCTGTGTACAATATATTGCTATGTGCATTGCATATTGTTATGGCACACGGACCGAGTAATAGACGGCGATACAAGGTAAAGGCATGAAGCTAGAAAGGGAAGGAGAAAGGACACTATTTAAGCCTGTTTTAAGCTGTTGACATAGCTCCATGGTAGAAGGAAAACACCACAAATAGTGCACACTATGCAAATAGTACTGTCCCTTGAATTAACGAAATTACAGACTAGCTAAATACTAGTTTTCGACGTGCTTTCACAGTAATTCTTAGGTTTACATGTTAAGTGTTCCCTCTAAACTCGTGACTATAAATAAATTATTGAAAATAAGAGATGCAGAACATAGAGATACAATATGTTTATGGTCATCTCCAACTATGTGTAAAAAAGTAAACCATTGATATCACACTTTAATGCATTTTTATAACACTGTAAGGTTTTTAAAATAATAGATGCATGAAAACCACAGTGCCATATGGTATTTGCATCAGAGATTTACTTTGATAACTATTAATAACATATTGCAATTGAATCCATTTACCATATGATTGAATTAGCTGACTGTAAAATATTATATTTGCTCTACTGTATTCCCACTTTTAGAACCACATTTTCAATAAAAGCACATATGAACAGAAATTGTCATTTTTGTCTACTGAATTATTAAAATCTTTGCTACAGAAACGCACATGTAATGTATATAAGCGCATATACTACTAATACTATTTGATAAGCTGATTCAACCAATATTAGTTTATGGCAGCAATATCTGGGAAGATGAAAGTAATTACAAATTTGCCATCAAGGATGTACACCTAAGCTACTCCCAAAATGGGCATTTACAGACAACTCGGCAAATAGCCATTGGATATATTCAACAAGAGACAATGATCAAATGTTACGATCACATAATGAATACAAATAACATCCTTCTTGAAAAAACTGCAGATTTAAACAAGAAAATTAACAGTACATGGCACAAGGAAGTGGAAACTGAACTTGCTAATATCAACCAATCAGGAATTATTACCGATAATACTGAATAAATAATTATGGAAACTCAATCAAAAATATTTGACAAATAAATATTTTGAAAATATGTATGATATCCATGATGACAGTAAGAATAATTTCAGAGAAAAAAATAAAGTGAGAACATACAGAGGTTTTAAAAAAATATTCAGATTGGAAGATTGATTAGTTGATAAGAAGAGCATTGAACTGATAGAATGGTTTATTGTAAATTCAGACTCGGCAATCACTGTCTCAAAATTGAAATGGGTAGACACACAAAACCTAAAACACTGACTGACAAAATAATTTGCATCAAAAGTTTTGTACTGCTATGAAAATTGAAGATGAGACGTACTCTGTTACGTCATGTAGAAAATATGAAGAGCAAAGAAATTTCCTTTTCAAAATTTTACTTTTTTGATGAAAAATAACAAATTCTTCGCAATCTTTATTTCAAATAAAACATTTTTTATTATCATGTAGCAAAGAAAAATGTTTATTTGTGAGAGAGAAACTTCCAAGACTGAACCCAATGAACCAAGTCTATATAAACAAAACTAAAATTAATTTTTAAAAATCTTTTCTTGTTGCGTATCATTTCTAGTCATGTTGTATTTTGTATGTTTTAGTTCTTGACAATTCTGTACCTTTCTGTGGCAGTATTGTTTCAATAAAATATTAAATTACTAATATATATTATAATAGAGCAAATACAATATTCCTTTTCTATGTGCTTACTTAAATGATAGGAATGTCCATGGTCAAAATAGGTTCAATTTTAATTGATCCTGCATACACATTGAATACATGTGCTTCCAAAAGAGAAAATACTGGTAATTATAGTACATACAGGTGATGTGTTTTGCCACATGTGTTTTTTTTTTTCTCAACAGAGTCCTGTACATAAATGAAGCTTTCAATATACAGTGATCATTTTTGTATATAGTCATTTTATATAAAACAATATTTACAAGATGATTTTAAAAATGTGTTTGTGTGGGAGACGTAGAAGCAGTGTAACAGGTAAGTAGATTTATTATATTATGAATTGGCCTAACTTGGATGTGTGGATTCTTTTGCCAACTATTTTCATCTTTCACAAAAGAAACATAATTCAATCTTTCTATATTTTTCCACGAATAATTTGATCAAGACATTTAGCTAATGGCCAAATTATGTTAATTTTAAAAACAAATTATTGAAAAATACATAAAAATGTGCAAAATATGGGAGTAAAACTTCAGCAGGAAAAATCATGACATTTTTTAAAGAGTTAACCTGTAATTATAGGCAATCACACCCAATAACAAATATCTCTCACTGAGCAGCACTATCTCGCAATCTGCTGTGACAACTTTTCCCACAGGTTGTATTATTAACAGAAACACATACATCATAACATGTATATTTAATAGCAACAGCATGGCACAACACTGTTATTTTATCGTTGGATGCTGACGACCAGTTCTTGCACTGTGACGTTATTTTTTCACACGAACACCAGGTTTTTGCCAATCAGTCGCTGTGCACATATAGATGCACAAAACATGAATGTCTTTTTATCTTTATCTGTGGCATCATTTAAATTTGTTCTGCAAAATATTATACTATAATAGTACTGATAATAAGTGTCCTTTCTTTGATTAATTCAAGTTATCTATCTGCATCATCTGCAGCATGATTCAGAACAGGGCATCAGTCATCAGTTGTAATTTTAATACATACAACAATGCTGGATGGCATTCAAACATATTTAACACATGAGTTATGTGGGAAAAAACAAAAAAATTGGAAAAATTATAGTGTATTTTGTATTTGAGTTTTAACAGCCAGTAACCCCAGAGTGAGTGGTTGTGTCCAGGGGTGCAGATTTTCAGGATTGAAAATGCTAAAGTCAGAACAAACACTGCTAAGAATAACTGATAGAGTAGACAAATAGCGATTTTCATGATCAGTTTATTTTGGAGCTGCAGAATATGTGATGAAGTCAACTCTGCAGCTGTTGTAATTTTAACATTTGTCTACTCAATCATTATTCAGATAATATTATGATTCATTCTGTGGATAGAAAAATATATATATTCAAAAAGGGGGATTTGTCACCTGCAAATGCGGCAGAAGACCGTATCGTGACGTTGTTTACCAACAAGCGCCGATCCATGAGCTTTTTAGTATGCATTGTTATCATTACTTAGGACTCAATTATCGGGCATGTGCAGGTGATTATTCCATTGCTTTAAATAAAAGCTGATTTGGAGAAATGTAATCGGTACTAAATTTGATTGTATTGTGCGTTTGTTTTATTTCAGTGATTAAGTTACTTGCTCTGCTTTCTGTTTTTGTACTGTTATATTATATTCATGGCAAGAGCAGTACATATCCTGCAGATCAGATATCAGGTTGGTTAATTTTTATTTCATATTTATTGGTTTCTACTGTGCCCGACAGCTGTGACCATCCCGTTTACATGTACAAGATTTATAAATAAAAACATTGTGTAAAAAATAATTATTAACATCTGCAGAGGAATTGAGAGGCAAGACGAGAATTGCTTTGTATATTTTTGTAAGAATTTGGTTGGTAGGGGTAAATGTATGCCAAAAAGAGAATAAATCTAATGGAGTGAGGAGTGTAATTTGTTAAACACTATTTTTTTTTTACTCAATAGAAATTTTTGTGTTTTGTATGGAATTTATTTTTACTGATTTTAGAAAAGTTGAATGTAAAATATAAGAGAACAGATACTGTAAAAAATGTTTAAATAGCTACCCCGTACATGCCATTTTAGCGAATTTGACTTCATGCATGAATTAACTGAATCTTAATTTAGCTAAAGTGCCAACAATCTCATTGTGAGAATATACTATTTAAATTAGTGATATCTTGAATTAGCGAAATTACATATTAGCTAAAATAACATGCTAGCTAAAAAGACATGTTTTACAGTATATTCACTGGATTTTATTTTCACTGAATTATCCAAAAATACATTCAAAGTGAAAATAAATCACTTCAATGATAGTACCGGGGTACTCAAGTTTTTTTGTTTTGAACATGAACTAGATAAAATACATGTGGTGGAAAAGGTCGATAACCCTGCTGATGAGAATGTAGTTGCTGTTGCTGGTGGTGACGAGGATGCGGGGGCGGCACCAGTTAAACTACCTGTTCCACCCGTTGTTAGTGTTCCGAATAATAAATGCGGCATCACCGAGATGTGCAGAAGCACAGAGAAAGTGTTTCATCTGATAAGTGGTGAATCCCAAGAGAGAACGCCCACAATATGTCTTGATGGCAAATTGTAAGTAATATAATTGTTTTTCTATTTGTGCTGATATTTATTTATTGCTTGATTGATTGGTAGTCTATAAGTTACTCAGATTACGTATATATATGGTAGTTTTTGTTATCAATATCACATCCCTTACTTTCAGCAGTCGGGTGGAGTTTGATCAGTGTGAATATTCGACTACCGTACGGATTCTTAGAATTTTTTATTCATACTATTTTTGGAGGATGGATCAAAGGGGTTGTTAATTCTTCATATCCATGCAATTCTACTTTACACACATTCCACATATCGAGACATGAATCATTTAGTGACCAGAAATGTTGCCATTGAGACAGTATCGAGCGAGGCGATCAATACATGTTCAACATTAAAAGTCATTGTTTACTCAGAACTGTTTTTATTCTCGTTTCATTTTTGTTTAGTTTCAATCCCATGGCACTGTGTGTAAATGCACATTTGTTCATTTCATTATTTAGTTTTATAGGTGGGGATAACCCTGAGCTCTATGCTGGCAGAGGAATGAACCTCATAGTTGTTGACAGTAAGTCACATGTTATTGTCTGTTGCCCACCACTTACAATCTCAAAACTGTTTTAGCTAACATCCTAATGCTCAATATCTCACAGCAGTGATGTCATACTTTACCCATAATCCTTTGCTGGAGAATCAAGGTGGTGGTGGTGATAAAAATTTGAATGTCTAGAGATTGAAAAGTGAGATTGCATTTTTCTACATTTGTATAGTTCTTTCACCTGGGAGCATTATGTTGTTTGGCTTGACTTTTCCTTTAATAATCCACCTTCAATACATATTATCAATACTTTCATCTTTTTTATGTGTTCATTCATGGTTGTAAATTTAGTTCTACATCATTAACGTGTATTGCCTGCTAAAAAAAAACCTCCATGGATAGTCAAAACAAATGGGAAAATCAATGTCAGTAGACAATGTGTTGATGTGTCATGTGTTTTGACAATGTTTATGTCTCTAGTTTTTTAATTTCTCTTTTAATTTGAAACTTTTAATTGTAATTCACTATATCATACATACATGGATATGTACAGTACTGATTTTGCACAACCATACATTTGCACAGTGCATTTATCACAATATGATCACGCATACATTGGCATTGTAGATTGATTGCTTGTGGGTCGTTTCTTTATTGCTTTTTTTCCCTATTATGTTTGTATCGCATATTTTAACTTGCTCTGGGGTAAACCCAAACATCTAACTTTTTGGATCCTCCCCTGCCCAGTCTGCAAGAAGTGATCTTATAATAAACATAATTACTATGGATGAGCCAGTCTGTTTGATTCCCAGTGTGGTGCAGTAAAAAAAAAAAAAAAACGTGTTAAAATACTGTAAACCACTTTAATTTTGTGAGAGACAACTTTTTGTGAGCCATGAAAATCTCCAAATTTGGTAGCAGTGACACGGAAGTAAGGGAATTTTGCAAAACTTTATCTTCACTAATATCATAAATACCCCTAATTGTGAAAACAGTTGCAGTGTATGATGCAAGTGCATTTATCAAACACAATAAATGGACAAAGCGAATGCAATAAAAGAGACAGAAATGCAATAAATAGACAAATGCATGTTACAAGTTTGAAAAAGCCATACTGTGCTATGTATATTTAGTTTTAAAAAAATCCAAATTTGTGAATTTCACATACAAATAATTGTTGTCTGACTAAGACAAGTTAGAACCAGCTTCAGTTTATTCAATAAATTACTTATGGGCTTCCGCTAACTGAGAATAAAATAGTTTACCCTTGGTGGTTTTTAGCCTCTGTGATGATTTGAGGCTATGACGTTTAGTTTAGTTATTTGCAATATGATATTGATACATTGTATGGAACATCTCTTGAGTATTTAGACTCAGTTCCAGACCTAGCAGTTGAGTAACAGACATCTTAGTTATAAATGCTTCTCTCCAGTGCGTTATTCTCCTCCTGGATGTGGTGATCAATACTCACTTGGTTCACTCTTCTAGATTGAGAAGTCTGTTCTCAGTTTACAGCCTGTTACCAAATTGTATAGTCACTTTACTTAACAAATACAATACAGAGAAGAAGAATGTCCAATGAAATGTCATGATTCTTTTTATGAGGTTCATGTGCAATTGTTGACATAATAGACAATTTTAGCTAGGAATCAACCTCCATTCTTGCACGAAAACCGTTAAACTCATCTATTGCATGGATTTTGCTTTCTCATGACAATCGGTAATTACTGTCGCTTTCTTTGTAAAACTGACACATTCGTCATTCGTCTTGGAGATACGCACCAGTTATCCCACTATTGAACATTCACAGCATTTTGAATTTTTTAAATTATTAGTTAAAAGTCGTTTTTATGTGATCATTTTTCAGAAGAAGCAAACAAAGTGCTGAAAGCAAGAAATTTTGATTTATACATGTTCGGTTAGTATGTTAATATAATTTCATTTTCATGATTTGATTTTGATTTACAATATTTGTCATATTTGTATTGTTGGTCAGTTCATATCAGCTATATTACAGCAGCAATAGTGGACTTGCATATAGTCTCTTGTTTATTTTTTGATGTATTTTGTATAAAATAAAATATCATGAGAATGTGTTAATGGCGAAAACCAAGTTACTGTGACATAAACAAGGGATTTGTGACTCTTGTAGATGCACTCTTGTGACACCAGTGATTATTGTTACTGATCTGGATTCAGTGCATGACGAACTGACTAACAGGGTCAGTTATTTTCCACCAATCAGCTTTAAGGTCAAAATTGGAGTCTCGTCTTGATTAGAAAGCGTGCCGAAACTGAAATTACGCAAGCTTGCATTCCACATTATTCTTTGAGATTTGTGATTAATGGCATTGCAAGACTACTAGGATACTGGGCTGTATATCACTTCAAGAATACTAACAATAGGTCATTGATGCGTACACTTCTGGTTGCGATGTTTGTGTGAGTGTTGGTCAATCAAATTACCGACTGACAACTCAATTGTTTGACATTCAAGCGTCTTCTGGCCAGCTTTGAACAGTTTTCTAGGAGTGTCTGATTTCTTTATTTTTGACCCAACATACAATACATATGGATTCCAGAGTTCTTGGTAATGGGACAGTTGTGAAGCTTGTTAATATCGACGTGCTTGTGATCACTATTCTCGGCAATCTTAAAAGAATATAAACTCATAAGTATAGTATACATGCTCCGCCCATCAAATATGTGACATCATCAAAATGCTCATTACTATTAATAGCCTTGCAAGGCTCACAGAACCCTTGCAAGGCTCACAAGTCTCTTGTTTATTTCGCAGTAGCCTGCCTTTCGCCATTTATATACTAATTTATTTTATTGAAAAAAAAACACCAAAAATAAACAATTTTCTGATTTCTCCTATTCATAAAGATTGTTTTTTTTAATTTCCTTAATCTTAGATGATGGTGAAATGATTGCGTGGTTGAAATCTCTCGGCAATGGCGATATTTTGATGGTTGCCACTTTTGATGATGCAGCACGTCAACTAACGGCTGAAACAAGAGAAATTTTAAAGAAAGATTTTGGGAGTACAAAAATAGACGATCTCAACTTCAGGGGAAACTGGGTATTTATTGGGCAGAAGGGAATAAGTGGTTCATCTTCCTATGAGAACGTAAGTCTTACAATTTTTTTTTTTAATGTTAGCTTGTATGTTATTTATAAACAGTGATTGTAAGCTGTACAGTATTGATGCGACTGTACGGTGAGTGGCATCACATATTTTTTGTGTGTTATTAAGTAATATCAAATACCGTAAAATCTATATTAGAAGCCGCATCTCTAATAGAAATCGCACCCATCCTTTTTGAATAATTGAGAACCAAAAATTCATCATTTCTCATATGTGTAGATGCTCTAATAGAAGCTGCATCCCATCTATTGCATTGTACCATTTTAATAGAAGCCGCGGTTTCTAATACAGATTTTACAGTATTATTGATTCGGGGAAAGAAGAATGTAATTGAAGAGCATATGCTTAAGAAGTAGATGGTTCATTAGTTTTTTGACTCGCATAATGTGCCTTTATTGAAGATGAGCTTTTTAATAGAGCAAATAAGGCATATACTTACATTGTCACTCAAAATATTTTTTATTTTTTCGATATCTCCAAAGATTGAACTGTTTAACAGTGAAGTCAGTGAATGGGCTCTGCAAACTTCAATCCATGGTTGTTTAACTTTACCAGGTATGTTTCAATATGACTGTGAGATATAATAATTTATTGTTTTTTTTAGTTATGTTTTATTCACACTTGAACTATATCATATGCATATTGTTTGCCATTGTGTATCTTTTGTAAAATGCTAATTTTCACACGTGACCACCAACTTGAAAAAATATTATTTTGTGATTTTTGTCTTTTTACCAGTTGAAAATACCTCATTTTTATCACAAAATTTTTGAGAATAATCGTGGTATGAGAAAAATAAACTAAATTACATGTTTCCATGGAAGTACGTCTGGCTACCTATCAGCATACAAAAATTCATGTAAAATGTTTACTACCATTCATTTTTCAAAAAGAAAAAACTATGGCAGATGTTTATCTATTCTTAGGATGCAAACTGCTTGGACAGTGTGAATGATTTAAAACTGTATTTCTACTTTTCAAATTTCTGAGGTGCCACCCAATGAACAATATATACACCATCAATTTTCATTATGCAGAATATGATTTTAAGAGGTCTTCCTAAAGCTTATTATAACTGAGTTAGGAGGCCTTGTTTGTTTTCACTTGTCAGTAACATTGTAGATAAATTTGTCAAAGAGATACGAGTAAGAACCTGTAGCATTCTCAAATTGAAATGAATGCAAAAATAGGCAGGGTATCTACCATAAAACTTTATTAGAAGTTGCATCCCTAATAGAAACCATTCTTTTTGAACAATTGAGACCCAAAAATTCACCATTCTTCATATGTGTAGATGCTCTAATAGAAGCCATATCCCCTCTCTTGTATTGTATCATTTTAATAGAAGCCGGAGTTTCTAATACAGATTTTACAGTACTTTTAATATATCTTATTTTATTGTGAAAACAACATCATTTTTGCTCATTTTATTTGTGAGAATGCAGGTTTAAATTTTAAAGAAAATAGTTCTTCTCTTTTTGAATCTGAGTAAATTACGAAATAAAATAGCAAATTATGAAAATTTAATTTTTGTGAACTCTAAGCGAATGTTCTCAAACCAACAAATGAAATTATTGGCTTTGCATTTGAACCATTGCTTTTTTTCAAACACTGGTATAGACTAGTAACGCGGCTTTTCCTTTGGTCAGATGCATGCCATGTTTGTTTTGGGCTTAACTTTTTAATCCAATAAACAACTGATCAAAACTAACATAACTAGAACATAATAATGCGATGTCCTTTATTATTTTATCATGATCAAATATACTAGTAGTGCAAGATGAAATAGGGAGTAATGTTATTTGGGTCATAGTTCGTTTTCTTTTTTCTTTTTAATAATCTTCACAAATGCGACAAAATATATGCAAGTTATTTCTATGTTTATTCTCCATGTTTCTGTAATATACAAAAAACAAGAATAGAGATAATTACAATTTTTTCCTCATTAAAATATCGGTTTCCTACTGAATATTAAATCGCTTAGTTCATGAGCATATCAAGTATTCAAATGCATTCTCCACTAAAACTATGAAGCCTTCACACAAAGGAACATTGTCAACACCAACACTGCTATTTGACCTTTATAGAAAAAGTTTTGCAAATTCTGGGAAAAATAATGAGAAATATTACCGGTATTCATAAATATTGTAGATGAAAGTAGGAAATATTAAAAATGCTGTAACTCATCCAAAAATTGACTGATGATGATCGAAAGGTTTAATTTCCGACTAGATATGAAAGTATGAGCCTGTGCATACAGCATTAGAATGATATTACAAAAACACACAAAGCAGGTAAATGAGAGTGCGTTCGGAAATTTAGGGTAAACTTTAGACACAAATATGTGTCGATAAACTACCAGCAAGGTCTGTCCAGCATCCTACAGGTGTAATAACACCTGCAACAATAGGCGTTGCTAGTCTATTCTATATCGCTCTGAGTTTCATGTTACGGTTCTTGACTTTTTATACAGTTGGCAGAGAGCAACACAAAGTTGATGGGTCGATTGATGAGTCTGTTCCAACAAGCAAGTGTGGTTTCTCTGAATCATGTCCTGAAGACACCATTGCTTTCAATGTGATATCTGGATCTCATGTTGGTAACCAGAAAGTACTACCAAGTGTCTGTATAGATGGGGACATGTAAGTTTTCTCAGTGATCAAATAATTCCATAGTAACGATTATCATTATATTTGCTAAAAATAGAATTGACGGAATTTTAGAATGCTGTGCAGCATGTAACACAGATCAAATGAAGACAACATGTCCAAATAATAGGACATTTAAAAAAAATCTTGGGATTACAGGAAAATTATGTCCAATTTGGTCCAAATGAACAAAAATGCAATATTTTATGTCCTCGCTTCATATATGTC